AGATATGGGATGCCAGGGTTCCAAGTGGCAGCCGAGCCCGTGCCCCACCACGCCCACCTAGGTACCTCTTTTTACGGATGTGCCCCTAACACCTTGTGCAGCGGCTGGTCCCTGGTAGGTGCCTGATGAAGATGTTGAACAAGTGCAGGCAGACACGGTCTCGGCCCTTAGGGCGCTTACCTCGTCCTACTTAGCCTCCAACACCTGACGGCTGCAGAGATGTGAAAACTGAGACCCTAAAGCTGGTATGATTTGCACAGTGCTTCAAGTGGGAAAGGGTATAATTCCTGCCTGTCAGAAACATGATGAAGCATTAAAAAAAAATAAAAAACACGTGGCACCTGCTACCTTCTTTGTGAACACAAGTCACAGTCTTTTATTCTAGGAATAATAACTAGGACAAAATTTTCATCACAAGGGAAATTAAAAACAAAGAAAATCTGAGCTCTCTGGATGGAGCAGCAGAACAGCAGGCAGCATGGACACCGCAGGTGGCCCCCCCACCCTACCTGGGAGACCTCCATCGCCCCGCCCAAGTAATTTGCCCCTACCCCGGCCTTTCTGTCCCTGCCACATTTAGGAATCCAGAGGCCTTCTTTTACAAACGCAGGAACAGGGGTTCAGAGAGAAGAGACTTGCTCAGGTCCACGCAGTGAATGAAACCCGTGTCTTCTGGCTTCTAGGACAAGATCCCTTTGAGACATAATCAATGGGACAGCTCCTAATAGGACGGAGAGACAGAGGAGGGAGGAGGCAGAGGAGGCAGCGTTGGGTCAGGTGTCCATTGGCCAGTCAGGGCACCGGACCGTGTGCAGGCGAGAGGCAGGGAAGGGCAGGGGAGTCCGCTGGGGAAAGGGGAGCTGCAGGCCGGGCCCTGCTGGGGTTATTTTCAGAGCTGCTATCTTTGTCTGCATCTGCTAAATTATTAAACTGAGATCATATCCTAGAGGGTGCCAGGCCAGGTTGCCAGGAAGAGACTGAAGGGGGGGGCTGGTTCTCATTGCAGAAGCCTGGAATCTTCTAGGCTGGGATGGAAATGGACTCCTCGGGCCTCGCCCCCTGCCTCACCCCACTCCCAGCTGGGGCTCTACTCACTGTCCCCTCCCCAGGGCTCTGTCAGCCATCTGCTTTCCCCGGGGTGGGGGTGGCGCCGGGAGGGGAAGGGACCCACCGATCAGGACTCTGGAATCTGATCTGTCTGTGCTGCCTCTTCTCTCGCAGGGTCCCGGATTCAGACCGCAGGCTCAGGGGCAGAGACCTTGCACCTGTCAGTGTCCCTGTCTGGGACCCGGCTTGCAGTCTCCTTTCTCAGATGAGGACCTGGACGTTCAGAGAAATGTGCCTTCCTCCGGCTCGCGTGTCTGGGAAAGGACGTCAGACACAAAAGTCTCTCTGGATTCAGGGCTCTTTCCCCCTCTCTAGTCTTTAAAAAATATTCTAGTATTTTCTCTACTTTTCAGCTTTTCTACAACAGGAATGTGTACGTTTTATGTAGATCAGAAAAAGACAACAGAGCAGCCCCGTGAGCTGCAGTGGCTGGGGTGCAGGCCCCGAGGCACCCAGGGGCTCCCCCAGACTGGGATCAGGCCAGTCCTGCAGGGATAGCAGGGAGGTGCTGGGCTAGGCCTTGGTGGGGGGCGCAGACCAGGTCAGCACGGCTAGGAGGCGGAGTGTCAGCAGCAGGGCCCCTGGAGCGGGCGTGTCTGAAGCAGCTCACAGGGCTCAGGGCCTGCCCAGCACGGCCAAGGGAGCTGGGAGCCAGCGGCGTTCCACAGCCTCTGGTGACTTTCGCTGCAGCTAGAGGATTGCCCGCTTGCTGTCCTAGTGCAGAGACGGGTGCCCTTGGGTTCAACCTTCCAACTGCCCGGAGGTTTGTCTCAGATGTTGCCAACGACCACACCCTCCAGTGCTGCAGAACGAGGGACACTAGTCCCGGCAGCTCCTGGAGCGAGGGCAAGGACCCCAAGCACACCCTAACTAACCATGGAGGCCGTAACCACTACCCTCAGTGAGTGTAGCATCAATGTGAAAAAGCCAGGCACTGCACCTGAGCCACCGAGGCTAAAGGGACTGGTCTGTCCCCATGTCCCCATACCAGCCTGGTTTTTGTAATCAACATTATTATGAAAAAAGAAAAAGAAACCACAGTAATCCATAGAGCTTAAACATATTTCCCTTGGGACCGGCACTGTGGCGCAGCAGGTTAAAGCCCCAGCCTGCAGTGCCAGCATCCCATATGGGCGCCGGTTCAAGTCCCGGCTGCCCCACTTCCAATCCAGCTTTCTGCTATGGCCTGGGAAGGCAGTGGGAGATGACCCAAGTCCTGCACCCACGTGAGAGACCCAAAGGAAGCTCCTGGCTCCTGGCCATTGCGGTCATTTGGGGAGTGAATTTGAGGAGTCATTTGAGGACGTGAAGGACTTTGCCACCCACATGGGAGACCTGGATGGAGCTCCTGACTCCTGACTTCGGCATGCCCAGCCCAGTCTGTTGTGGCCATTTGGGGGAGTGAACCAATGGATAGAATCTCAATCTCTCTCTCTCTTTTAAATAAATAAATTTTATAAGATGCATCCCTCATTCCAAATGTGTTTGCCAGGGTGGCTACGTACCAGCAGGCAGAGGACTGTGGCCCCTGCCCATTCCTGGGAGTGTGGAGCTCAGCTAAGGAAACCGGCAGATGCCAAACTTGTCTCACCTCTGGGCCTTTGCACACAGTGTCCCTTCCGCCCACCATCTCTACATCCTTCGGGTCTCAGTTGAAATATCACCTCCCACAGGAAACCCTCCCGGTCCATCTGGGCCCAGTGCTGCTCCGCGTTCCCACCACCTCTGCTTCTCTCATCAGGGCAGAAACCTCACCGAACTGCCATCACCTGCTGTGTGCTCCCAGACTCACCCGGGACAGGGGCTTCCAGAGGCCAGCCCAGCAGAGGCAGGAAGCAAACTGTTGAATGAGTGAAATAAAAAATGAATGAGCGGAGAAGGGGACTCCTAGTCACAGTGAGCGCCAGCCTTGTGTTATGTTTCATTCAAACAAATGCTTACTGACTGCCTGATAGGGCCCCGCATTGTCCTTAACACTGGGGCATTCTGGTGGTAGGAGGACCAGGGAGGGGGAGAGACAGGTAATCACTGTTAGTCACACACACACACACACACACACACACACACACACATCTGTGACCTGTGGGAAATGCCACAGAGCAGAGGAGCGGGGGTCGGGGCTGGAGAGCAGCAGGGAGGACAGGGATGATTTGGGGCTGGGCCAGACCCTGTGGGAGCCCTTACTTGGCCACCCACCTGCTGGGTGATGGGGGTGGGGTGGGGGGGAGCCTCTTCCTCTCTCAGCAGGAAAAGGCTGCTGAACACCTCACGCCTTGGGAATGAGGTGAGGATGTGAAGGGCATTCCTGCAGGACACAGGGTTGCGCACCTTTTCCCACCGGAGGGAGAGGTTACTCGCTGTCACCCCGGTGGGCAGTGCGAGGGTTTTTTAAATCAGGTCTGACGGGTTCTCTGGACCTGGCTGATGGTGGGGTAGGGGTGAGCCCTGGTCTTGTTCCCCTTGTTTCCTCCCCCAGGAGTTAGGAGCAGTGATCTGCCTGATGCAGGCAAAACACCTCCCCACCTCCCCACCTCCCCACCGGGATGGGGTTGGGGACCTCAGCTCAGAGAAAGACTCAGAAGTGGATGAACAGGAGGCAGACATGAAAAGTGAGAGCATCCCTGGGGGCGGGGTGGGGGAGGGGGCCTGGCTCCTCTCCCTGAGCCTCCCTTCCACGGGGGCCTCACCACACCTGTCCGCCCATGACCAGACACCCCCCCCCCCCCCCCCCCCGCTGAGCGCCAGCTCCTTCACTGAGTCACTGAGCCCTCTCCCCTCACCGAGCCACCCACGCCGTGAGCCTCCACCACTGGTCACTGGGCGCCTTCCCCCTCACTCCCTCCTCTTTGCTGAGCCCGGCGTCCCCCGCCCCAGCCTCTCTGGAGCCGAGCTGTCTCGCCCACGTGTTCCCTGTCACTCAGTCTAAGGCACCTGAAAGCACTCAGAACCTGGGGGGAGGGATGAGGCTCTGTTCTCATCAAAGGCTCCCGGCTCCCCATGGGCCTCCTGTTGGAGCTGGGGCAGGGGTCTCACCGCCCTCACTCCGCCCCAGGCAGGTAGCAGCCCTGCACAGTCGGTTTGAAAGCTGGTTTTCGCCCTCCGGCACCCACCCCCACGGAGCCTTCGCACGCACAAACAGAAGCAGGGCCAAGGCGTTGGGACCGTGTTTGGAAAAGGTGTGACAGGGTCACCCCTACCCACTCTGCGGGGATGATTAGGGTCCCAGATAAGGAGGCGCAGAGCTAGCTACCCCAGGCACCCGAACCCCCCCGCTGGCAGGGACCCGACGTGGCAGCCAGCCCACCTTGGGCAATGCATCGCCACACCTTCAGGGCTTGCTTTCTCCTCGCGAAAGGTGTGGGGGCATCTGCGGGGCGGCGCACGCAGGCTCCAGAGCGGGAAAGAACTTGGCATGCCCCGGGGGTCTTAGGGCTCCTGGGGGGTGGGTGGCACCGATGTCTGCTGGCGCCGCCGCTCCACTGTGGCGTCCGTTCTGCCTGCGAAGGGTCTGCCTGGTGCCCCTCCCCCGGAACCCCAGCCACCCCGCCGCGTGTACTCCTCGCCCAGCCGGGTGGATCCTGTGTCCTGGGAGACCACAGAGGACTGATTTGGCCGTGGTGGCAGCGTCAGGTATGGGAAGGGGCGCAGCTCAGGGAGGCAACTTCCTGAGCCTGAATCCCGGCGCTCGCTGTCCCTCAGTGGGGTCTCGGGCAAAAGCGCGGCCCGCGTGCCCCGCGTGGAGGCTGGGTGCGGTGATTTCTAAGCACCGGCACTAGCCGGGTTTGGGGCACGCCCCGCACGCGAGGGCCCGGGAGGCAGGCTCAGGGCATGCCCGCCTCCGATTGGCCGAGCTGGCCATCGCTCCGCCCCGTGTTCTATAAGACGCACCGGCGGCGGGTGCAGCGCTGGTGCTGGGGGTTGCAGCCGCGTTCTGCTTTCCGGGTGCGGGGTGTCCACCACCTCCCCGCGCGTGCGGACAGGCGGGCGCAGACCTGCGGGGGCGGGGGATGCCGGGCTGCCGCATTAGCGCCTGCGGCCCGGGGGCCCAGGAAGGGACCGCAGAACCCGGGTCCCCGCCGCCACCGCCCCGGGAGTCCCTGCCATCCCCTCAGCTCCCGCCCCCAACTCCGACCTTGACCTCAGCCCCGCAGCAGCCCGAGGCGACCCAGGGGTCAGCAGCCGGCGCGGCCGAGGGGCAGGAGCTGCAGCGCTGGCGCCAGAGCGCTAGTGCGGGCGCGGGGGTCACCGGGCCGGCAGGGGGCGCGAGCGGCGGCCCGGGCGCGGCGGCGGGGCCGGGGGGTCGCGCGCTGGAGCTGGCCGAAGCGCGGCGGCGGCTGCTGGAGGTGGAGGGCCGCCGGCGCCTGGTGTCGGAGCTGGAGAGCCGAGTGCTGCAGCTGCACCGCGTCTTCCTGGCGGCGGAGCTGCGCCTGGCGCACCGCGCCGAGAGCCTGGGCCGCCTGAGCGGTGGCGTGGCCCAGGCCGAGCTCTACCTGGCGGCGCACGGGTCCCGCCTCAAGAAGGGCTCGCGCCGCGGCCGCCGGGGCCGCCCGCCCGCGCTGCTCGCCTCGGCGCTCGGCCTCGGAGGCTGCGTGCCCTGGGGCGCCGGGCGCCTGCGGCGCGGCCACGGCCCGGAGCCCGACTCGCCCTTTCGCCGCAGCCCGCCCCGCGGCCCCGCCTCCCCCCAGCGCTGACCCCAGCGCCTGGACCGCTGGCCACCCTGGACGGGACGGACGCATGGTGGATGGAAGGACGGCGACACCTACGTGGATGAACAGGTGGACCACAGGCGGACACAGTCGGGGGGCCAGGGGCCCAGGAGAGAAGCATGAGGTGCGGTCTTAGCGGCTGGTGCGTTCACAAGGCGGGACGGGGGGTGCAGGGCCCGGGACCCCCACTCCCTGGGGCTTCTGGAGTCTGCGGGGTCTTTGATGAAGCTGCCCGCTTTTCCGCCCCTCCCTGACCACCGGGCCGAGTAGGGTGTTGGTCCCAAATCCCCGTTAGAGAGTTGGACGGTGAGAGCCGGGGGCGCTCAGACCCCAGGAGGGGCTTCGTGGCAGACTTGCCCCTGCTGGAGCCCGCGGTCCGGATGCCGCCCCGCCACCCCCACCGCGAGTTGCCTTCCCTGTCCTAGGTTCCTGGGGGCTATGAGAAGCCTGGCCCCCAAGGCCGCAGCTTTCTGCCCAGACCGGGGGGAAGGCAGAATGATGGGGTCTCAGGATGGGGCGGGGGCCAGCCCGGGGCTGCAGGACTGAGTTCTCTGAGCCCTTGTTTCTCATCTGCGGAGGTGGAATCCCCAGAGAGGCTGAGGACTCAGGCAACTGTGCTGAGGCCACAGCCCGACTCCCCGGACCGAGAAGGAGTGTTTGGCACCTGCTCGCCCGGGGCCCCCCACCTCAGCCTGTCTCTAGGATGGCTGGGCCGGGGCTGGAGCCAGGTTGGAGCCAGGCGATGGGCTTCAGCAGGCCCCAAAGCGGCAGGTATGGCATCAGCCTCCAGAAGAGGGGGCCTTAAAGGGCCAGACTGGAAATGAGATCTCTTCCTGTCCAGATGTCCTTCAGCCCTTCCCCCACTCAGCTGCTGCTCTGCTGCTCACAGCCGAGTTCAGGCAGCCTCACCTGTGGTCCGTGAAGTGCGCATGGTCGCCTCCCAGAAGGGCCACGGGGCAGCGAACACCAGGTGGAGTCTCAGAGGGCACTTGCATTCTTTAAATCGCACTGAGGAGTGGGCACTGCTTTGCTCATGGAGCCAGGGGTAGAGTCCTCCCTTTGCGGAGCGAATAGGGATCCCTCAAGGTCACAGGCCAGCAAGGGGCAGAGCGGGGTCCCAGGCCTGTGTGTGTCCTGGGTGGGGGCGAGGGGGGCGCTGGCCCGGCTGCTGGCTGCTGTGTGACCTGGGACTATGCTGGCCTCCCTGGTGTTTGCTCCGTTCCTCCTCTCTGGATCTGGCTGGCTGTCCTCATGTCTGGGCCTGGAAATGCGGTGGAGGAGGAGGGGGCTATTGTCAGAGCCCTGGGACTCTGGTTCCGCTCCAAGACCCTCCCCAGATGCTATCCCATCAGCTGGCCCTCTCCCAGGGTACCAGAGTTTGGGGCTGGTTTCTCAGCCAGTATTCAGGCTTCCCTGAACCAGGTCTTAGCTGGGGAAGAGCCGTCGGGGTTGGGGGGGGTCTCAGCGGGGTCATGGGAGCATGGCGGTGGGGGGAGGCTGGCATCCTCTGGTCTCCCCAGAAAAGGAGCGCTTTCTGGAACAGTTTGGGTCCGTGGGGGTCCAGAGGCCCAGGGAGGGCGCTTCGTGGGAGTGACCTGATGAGAGAGCTCAGGCTGCAGTGCTGGGCTGCAGCCAGGACTGTTTGGTTTCTGGGTTGCATGGGAGGGCACCGGGTGCAGGGGAGCTTTTAGCTAATGGTGTAAAGTGCTCTGGGCAGCCACCGTTTCGCTCTGCTCTGGGATTTGTTGATAATCAGCTTTCCCCCGATTTGGGGTTGGGGTGGGAGGGCAGAGAATTAGAGACACCACTCTGGGCACGTGGCACCTGGGCCTGGTGACCTGAGCAACGCTGCTGCCCCCTGCTCTCCACCAGGGGTCTGGGTCAGGGCTCACCACGCATGGTGACTTGAACCCCAGCTCCTGCCTAGCATACTGCCCACTGCCCCTCAGCCAGCTGACAAAGTCACCTTCCCTTCTCTGCCTGATCCCCCCAGAGCTCCCCCCGCCAGAAATGCCCTGCCCTGGCTGCATTTCCCCCTTAGTCCACAAGCATTGATGGCACCAGGCAGGGACCCAGGCTTTTGTCTGCCCACCCTTCTCCAGGAAGCCCTCCTTGGCTGTCATCCTGGGGCCAGCTGCTGGGCGTTGTGTGTTGCTGGAGTACTGTTGCTATGCCGTTGTTAGTAACTTATCCCCTGGGCAGGGGACTTAGCCTCCCATCTCCCCACACCCTGCCCCGTGGACAGTGTGGGGATCTTGCGGGGGTGGGGGGGCCTGGGCGTTGAGGACATTGATGGCCACCAGTGAATCTGGGATCTTAGCAAAGGGAAATGAGGGTAACGGGGGCCTTTCTTCAGGCTGATGCCTGGGGCTGGGAGTTCAGGCTGCCAGTCTGAGACCCCCCCCACCTTTCACCTGGATAAGCCCTTCCCTCTCTTGGCTGCCCCAGCAGTGTGTGGGCGCCGCCACCAGAGGGCAGTGTGGGGCTGCTGTGCGAGTCTTAGGGGCGTGGCCTGGGACAGGTTCGGTCCCCAGCGTTCCCGCCCCCACCCATGTCTTTCCAGATCGTCCGGGGTAACTGGAATTTGAACTATAAACCTCTGGCAGAACTAGCGGGTAGTGGTGGTTCTGGGGACTCGCTTGGGGAAGGGGCTTCCTTGCAAAGAGGTTGTTCGTTTGGCGCTCGGCATCTGAGCTCTTCATGTGTCTAAGTGAGCCGAACACCCGGCCCTGCCGCCGCCTGGCAACCGAGGTGGCCGCCTAGAGATGAGGCTGCAAGCCTGCAGTGTCCGCGAGGATCCCGGCCCTCGCCAGCCGGGTCCCGCGAGACCATCCCAGGGGCCCAGGCTTCTCCCAGCCGAAGGAGGGGCAAGCTGCTCATGACTCAGGGAGAGGAAGCACGTGGGAAAACTGCAGCCTCTTTCCCTTGTTAGTCCTTGACCCCACCTGGCACTGCGCCAAGCCCAGGGTCTGCTTCAGCCCCACAGCCACTCTGCAGAGGGTCGTGGTGGGCGAGTGACTTCATCCAAAGACAGAACCTGGAGGATCCCTCAAACATTAGGCTGTGGCTTAGAGGGCTCAGTCTGGGGGGATTTCTTTCCGGCCGCGTGTAGCGCCCCCTGCCGGGTCCTCAGTTCTGGGGAGGATGTTACATAGGAGACCCTAGAGGGCTGGCAGAAGATGCTGCCTGGCTCCCGCTGAGGTCTGGGCACACCCGGGCCTGGTTGTCTGGGCCGTGGGGGTGAGTCAGGCTGAGTCAGCACACCTGGCTCCCTGGGATGCGGAGGGCCTGAGCCAGGCTCGGGCTTGCTGTGCAGGGCAGCCTCCCGTCCCTGCAGATCTGGGCTGGGCGGTTTGGAGGGCAGACAGCCTGGGATGCAGAGGAGTGGGGGGGATGTCACCCCCTTCCCCCGGTTGGGGGGGGAGCAGAAAGGGTCCCAGGCCGAACCAGGCAGACTGCGGATTCTGTCCTGGCCTGGAACTTTCCCAGCTGGGAAATCTGGGGGCAATGGCTTCCCTTTGCTGAGCCAGTTTCTTGTTTGTGTGTTTTGGGGTGGAGCTAGGGAGGAGCTCGGCTGTGCGCGAGCAAGGAGCAGGAGATGTGTAGGTGAGGGAGCCCAGGCACCCCGGGCCGGCCCAGCGCCCCGGCTTCTCCAGAGCATCACCATATCAGGAATCCCCGGAACGCCCCCCCCCCCCAGCTCCGGGAGCCCTGGGGAGCTCCATAAGGGGAGAGGGGGGAGGGGCGGGCTTTCATCCCAGGAACATTCCATTCCAGCTGCTCAGACCACTGGGGATCCCAGCCAAGGACAAAGGCCCCAGGGAACCTCTGCCTCCCCCAGGAGCCCCCACCCCTGTCCAGGGCTGGAGTTGGGGGAGCCCCATTTCCTGCAGCTGCCCCTCGGGGAGCAGGTAGATGTGGAGGGGTTGGGGGGGCAGGTGGCTGTGGGAAAGGCAATTACAGCTCTGGGAATGGTTTCTTCCAGCTCCTCCGAGCCTCCACGCTGTGGACCTGGACTCCTGGACTGCGCTTCTACCCCGGGCACCTCCTTCAGGAAGACTTCCAGAACTGACTCTGCACAGGCTTGGCGCCCTCCTTGCAGGAGCCCTCCCTCCACGGTGGCCAGGGGCCAGGCTCCGGGGAGCTTGCCCGCACTGTGCCACCCTTGATTTTGGCTTACACTGCAGGGAGGAGGTGTTACCACAGGCCCCCGAGGTGCAGGCCGATGATTTCAGAGCACAGCAAGCATTCCCAAGGGGAAAACGAAAGGGCTTTCCTTTAAAGGTACAGCTGTCCTGAAGCTGCCACTGCCGGCTCTGTCCCCGTGTTGGTGGGCGTCACCGCCTTGGGGTCTCATGGTGCCAGGAGGCCTGTAGGGGGGAAAGCTGGGGGGTCTGAGCAAAGAGGGGTCCCTGGCTCTCCCCGTGATGGGAGCACACCTGCGGCCCAGCGGTCAGCTGCTGGCTCCTGGTGGGGGCAGACCTTAAACTTCTGTGTCAAGTTTTCAATGAAGGCAGAGACCCCTGCATTGCAGTCTCCTGACAACAGAGGGAAGGAGGGAGCTTGTTTCCTCCCAGCCCAGAACGTGTAGAGCCCAACAGCGCGTGAATCAGAGCAGGAAGAATAAACCTCGCCCCTGCGAGGCCGCCGTCCACGCAGCGCGTCCTTGGTGACTGTCACGGCTCTCTGAGCGGCCAGTTCCTTGAGCAGCTTCTGTGTGGGCCTGCTGCCCAGTGTGCCCACAGCCCGCCCTCCCCGGGGCCATCCTCCCTGTCACCGGAGGTGATGAGGGGACCTGTGTGGGACTGTGTGACGTTGGCAGCATGATGGCGGGGTGGGCAGGGCTGTATGAACCTGGGTTGGTCAGTGGCGGTCACTGCAGGAGACAGGGCACGCTCCAGCCGGGAAACTTTAAAAGGGGCCGCAGTCCAAGTCCAAGGGGGTGGGCAGGGCTGGCAACAGGGGGAAGCCTGCAGGGACAAGGGCAGCAGCCAGGTGGGGATCGACACGGAATACAAGCCCGGCTTCCTTCACTTCCTGCTGGGCCTGTCACTGTCCTCTCACGGGAAGCTGGGAACAAGGGAGCCGTTGACACCCTGTCCCTAGATGGCAGCAACCCCAGGGCTCAGAGCAGAAGGGCAGAGAGGGGACCCAGAGCGGCCGGCGGGTCACGTCCCTGCCTGGCTGGAGGGTGGAGGATGGGGCTTGCTTCCCTCCACCACGGTCTGAGTCCCAGCTCCCAATTCCTGCCCGTGCCAGCGTCTGCAAGGCTGCAGAACAATGCCAGTCTCTGAGTCAGTGTTTGTCTCACACCCAGAAACACCGCGCCACTCCCAAACACACCCAGAGGCATGCGGTCGCCACCACGGGCCCCAGATGGTCACCACAAGCTGTGGCCAGTGTCACAGGAGCACTGGACGTGCCACATACATGCACAGAGGCCTGCTGTCTCAGCCATCCACGTGGCGCACAGGCAGAGGCTGACAGCAGTGGCTCTGGAGTCGGGCACACCTTAACTTCTTGGGCCTCGGTTTCCCTGTCTGTAAAATGGGACTCACATTCGCTCTTGTCCCCCGGAGTCGGGAGGATGAAATGAGGTGATTTGGGGGACTGGATGAGCCTGCTCTGGAGACAGAAGCTCTTGGGCCCTGCATGGGCCAGCCAGACACCCCCAGGCGCCAGTGTCCTCCCGCAGACACGCCTGGGAGAGCATGAGTACCTTCAGACGAGTTCCCAGGCCGGAACACCTGCCCCGCTGGCTTCCCGCTGTCTTGAGGTCTTGGGCCAATGGTGTCACCTTTCAATGAGGTGCTTCCTTTTAACCTTGGTGAACCCCAGCACCTCCAGCCCCGTCTACACGGCCACCTACCCCTGGCTCACTCCACCCGCATCGTGGATCTCCTGGGTCTGTACGGTGTCTACTCCATTAGAATGTAACCTTCATCTTCTGTGGCTGTTTGTCCCTGAACGTCACACGGCGAGCACTGCATACGCACCACGTGGGTTTCAAGGCCACGCCTCACCTGGACAAGCTGTGCCTGCCTACATCTTCTCACACCCAGGCTCAGATGGCCAAAGTGGGAGGCGACACAGCTGGGACGTGGGCGGGGGGCCGGTGTGGGTCATCCGGTAGAAGAAGCGGTTCTGTTTGCCCCTCCAGCAGCGGAAGGGACCAGGTCGCACAGCAGGGACCCAGGGAGCAGGTGAGGTGGCTGGGCTCACCCTGGTACCCTGAGGACTCCTCTTGTTTTTTCCACCCTGGCTGCAACCATCAAAGCCGCCACTTCAGAGGCCCCTAATGAGGCTGACTGTGTTAAGGGCTTTGCAATCCCTGGATCAAAGAGGGAAGGCAGCGTCCAGGGCACCTCCTGATGCCCCGTGGGCACTGCTCCTGGCACGGCCCCAGCTGGGTCTGCAGAGACCCTGCCCCTCCAGGGGCGCTGCTGGGGGTGAGTCCGAGCACACCCAGCAGCACTTGTGGAGGGGGGCTGACGACTGAGGGAAGCTCTCCCAGGGAGGAGGCTCTACCTGGACTCTGGGGGACCCTGAACTCCCCCATCTCAGCTGCTGTGTCTCGGATAATTTTTTTTTCAATTTTACTTGAAAGGCAGAATGAAAGATCTGTCTGCTGGTTCACTCCCCGGTTGTTTACTACAGCCAGGGCTGGCCCAAGCCAAAGCCCAGAGCCTGGAGCTCCATGTGGGTCTCCCACTTGAGCTTTCACTGCAACCCCCCAGGATCACCTTAGCAAGAAGCTGGATCGTGGCAGAGGAGCTAGGACTTGAATAGGGCACTGCCAACGTGGGACATGGGCAGCCCAAGTGGCGACTTCACTGCTTAGACGACACCTGCCCCATTAGCTGCTGTTTCTGGAGGGGCCTCTAGTGCAGATGCACCCACTTGTTCCCTAGGAAGAGATGGGGTGACCAGGGTCTGAGTCAATTACTAGGCAGTGGAGTGGCCGGCCAGGTCGGGGGCTCTTAGGGCAGAAAACACTGCAACACTCACTATTCAGCAAGAGGCACGTGCAGGTCAGGTGCAGACACAAACTCCCAGAATACAATTGTCGTCTAGGGCAGGTACTTAAGGGAGGAGGGGCGACCCCCCAGCCACAGCCCAGGCCTCCAACAACTCTGTCCCTCCAGTGCTCCCTCCCACAATACAAGCCAGGCTCAGACCAGGTGGGGGAGGCAGCTGCAGCCCCAGGAGGCGTAGATGGTCCTTCCTTTCCTGGGAGAAGGCATGGTGCAGGCTCAGTGCAGACAATCTTTATTGGCATGTGCTAGGAGTGTAAAACAACAAACCCGGGGGGTGGAAAAGGAGGGGTCCCTCCCCCATGTGAGAGCCCCATAACCAAGCCGGGGCCGCGGGGGTGGGGGGCAGGAGCACTCGACTGTGGTCCCAGCACCTCCCAGAGAACAAGCTCTCAGGCAGGCGGGCTCCTCACCGTGCAAGAGGGAAGGAGCCGCACACTGGGAGGGGCGCGGGCTGCCTCCCACCCTGGGCCGCCTGGCGCCTGCCCATGGCTCACTCCACCCCTTAGGAGGTCTTCACAGCTTGGGGTATGGATTTCAGGAGTCTGGGCTATACCCATCCCTCCCCAAACCCGTGTGTGTGACTGATGCCTCAGTTTCCCTCTCCAGTGATTAGCCAGGTTGGACCACAGGGTTAGTGGCCCGACCACCCCCCCCAAAAGTGAGCAGTCCCCATACATCCCCGGGGGTGGGTGGGGAGTGGGCTACAGGCCCTGGGACGCTGCTCTTGTCCAAAAGACCCTCTCAAGGCCAGGGAGATCCACCCGAGGTGCTGGGCCTTGAGGCTACCGCTCAGACTTGCTTCATCTCCTGAAGCCGACCGGTTCTGAAAGCGAACAGCCCCTGCAGCCCACCATCATGCTGGTCCAGAAGCAGGGGGCACTCACCAAAAGGGTCTGTCTGCTGCTGGGAGCCCCCCCGCGTGGCCTTAAGCCCCTGGAGGCCATGCCTGGGGAGGGCGCCTGTTCAACTGCAGGCCCGCCCCTGCAGCAGGGCTGGGCCGGCCGGCACGGGCTGCCTGTCCCCAGTCCTGACCTTCACCCACTCCTGGGGGTCCCATGCCACCCCGGGAGGCCCAGCCTCTTTTACCCGGGGTCCGAGTCAGTTACAAGGCAGCCAGGTTGGATAGGCGTGTGCCCGAGCCAGCAGAGGCTGCACGGGAGTGACGTAGTAATTGACGGTGGCCGGCACGAGCCCGTCGGGGCCTGGAGGGCGCCAGGCCAGCGCAGCGGCGGCGGCGGGGCCCTGCTCTGCCAGCGCCTGCAGCGCCAGCGCAGCGATCAGGTCCAGCGTCTGGCGGCGCTCGTGGTTCATGAGGCACACGGTGCTCTCGTTGACCACCCGATGCAGCGTCACAAGGCAGGCGTAGCGGCGCGGGGCGTCGGCGCCGCCGAAGTGGGCCTCCAGATAGCGCTCCAGCGTGCGCTGCTGCTCGGCCAGGTCCGGGAAGTCGATGAAGAACCTCGAGCACATGTAGCGCTGCAGTGCGCGCACGTCGGACCGCGGCCGCGGCCGGAAGCCGCGCACCAGCAGGTGGCAGTACTTGAGCAGGCCGCCGCCGCGGATCTCCTCCGGGCTGCGCGTGGCGATGACGCGGTGCCGCAGGTGCTCCAGGGCTTCGGCGAAGTCTCCGTACAGGCTCTCGCCCGTCACCGTTGGGTGGAAGGCCTCGGACATGGGCGTGGACGAGCACTGGCCAAAGAGCAGCAGCGAGTCCAGGACGATCTGGAAGGAGTCCACGCTGAACTCGAACTGGCGCCTCACGGAGTCCACGAACTTGAGTTCCACGTTCTTGCCGCTCTTGTTGGACAGCGAGATGAGGCTCCAGCGGTCTGTGTCCGTGCACACCTTGACCAGCTTCTGCACGTACGCCTCCTTGAGGGTCACGGGCGTGATCTTGGCCCGGCTCACGCCAGCGGGCAGGAAGTCTAGCAGACAGGCCAGCACCACGGCCTTGGTCAGCTGGAAGGACGCCTCGCTGCGCAGGTCCACCCGGAACACCAGGTCCAGGTCCTTGTAACCCAGGCCGCTCTCAGGGTGCAGGACGTGGCTGGCAGCGGAGCCGTGGAGTCGCACACTGTGCACTCGAAGTCCCTGCTCCTCCAGGCTGCTGCGGACCACCTGTGGGAGCGGAGGCAGGAGGACAGGTGTCAGGAGCCTGGGTCCCTGGGAGCGCTCTGGGACTTCCATGGAAGACTCAGGGCACCACCTATCAGTGCTGAGCCCTTGCCAACTGTTGTAACTTTGGAAACCTGTAACCGTCTAAGCTTCCATCTCCTAATCTGCAGAGCAGAGGAGTGACTCAGAACAGCAGCAGTAAGAGCAAACCTGCACCGGATTTGCCGGGTGTCAGGTCCTGATCTACCCACTTTTCGTGAGGCTGCTTGGGAGGGTTCCGGGAAACAGGAAATCAAAAGAAACATTTGTTTTGTTGCAAAGAATTTTGAAATCCATGTGTAGTTTTTTCATAGCATGTATTTCCATGAACTTTTAAAGTGCTCTTACACATTAAAATAGAAACTTGAGGCAGGTGTCATGGCACAGTGGATTAAACCTGTGCTTGTGACACCCGCATCCCCGTATCTGTGTGCTGGTTGCGTCCTGGCTACTCTGCTTCCAATCCAGCTTCCTGCTAACATGGCTGGAAGCAGTAGATGATGGGCCTCGTCCTCAGGCCACTGCTGCTCACCAGGGAGACCCAGATGGAGTTGTGGATATAAACTCATTTAATCCTCATGATAAATCGGGGGGCTAGGTGCTTTCGCCCCCACTTCACATCTGGGGCCAACTCACTGGCCCAAAGCCACACAGCTGGAGAATGCAGAGTTGTGAGTCCACCTGAGTCCATGCCCAAACCACTAGGCTATTCTACCTCTCTAACTATGCGAGTAGAACACTTGGCTTCGTGCCGGGCACCGAGCTAACTGCTCCAGTGAATCGGAGATATCTTTAGCATTTCCCGTTCATTACCACCTTACCCCTCACAACAATCCGCTGATTCCAGTTGACAGATGGGCACAGAGCGGTTAAGAAACATGCCCCAGGCCGCAGAGTAGCCAGGTTCAGACTAGAACCCAGCTTGGTTGGACTCTCCCTTCCGTGCAGGCTGCTCTGACATTGACACACTTAACTCATCCTTACAGGCACCCAGGGCGGCAGTCCGGTGAAGCTGTGCAGAAGTGGCAGGGATGGGAGCCCAAAGCCAGGCCCTTTCCACGGGGTCAGGATCCCAGGAAAGCTCCCCAGCCCAGTGGGGAGAGACACGACAGGGAGCCGACGGGGTTTCTTGAACCTGTTGCCGAACTGGAGGCAGCTCCCCGGGCCCCAGGCGTGGAGAAGAGCCAGCAGGGTCAGCAGCCCAAAGTGCTTCACACACCATCCTGAAAGTGACCAGGCAGCATTCCTGCCGGCTGCGATTCTGCAACCTCGCCACGCTGCCAAGTCAGCGCCCAGCTCTGGGTCGGGCTGCCCTCCTTGCCTCCCAGGGAATTACTGCAAAGAATGCACCTAAGTGCTGAGGAGGCAAGCTCAGTGGGGCAATTCGAGGCGGGCGGCTCCTCCAGGAAGGCTTCCGGGACGAGGGCCTTGACTAAGGGAAGAGGTTGTCATGGCAACACTGGTGGTAAGCAACTGGCCCTCAGGAACAAGGGGGACAGGGATGGGGTAGGGGAGGAGGAAGCATTTAGGCACCCCGTGAGTGCCAGGTGCCGGGCCACACCTGAATCCACGAGGGACACATCTTGTGATGGCTGTGTTCTCCACGCAGACACCAAGGCTCACAGGAGTGGAGTCACCTGTTCATGATCACCTGAAGGTACCTTCAAGCTCAGCTCTGGCTGGCCCCAGAGCCAATCCTGCTCCCAGCACGGTGCAGAGCCCGGATTGGAAAGAGCGGGGACTAAGGGACTAATGTTCTCAACCTCCTTGCCTTTCCAAATTTCAAAGTGAGGCCAGGCCTCAATTCCCTGAGGTCCAGAGCTGGAGCAGCTGGGGAGCAGGCAGGTAGGGGCTGGGTGCACCTCGGCCAGCCAGCCGGGGCCAGTTGCTGCAGTCCAGCCTCGGGGCTTCTAACCCACACCTGTCAGGTGATACGGAGGCCAATGAGAGCAGTGGGCCAATGTCCTCTGTCCAAGGACCCTGCAGACCCACAAGAGCAGACCAGCCCCCTCCCCTAGTGCCATTAGGCTGACAGAGCCTCCTCTGTGCTGCTCCTAGGCTGGTACCCCCCTGGGCATGGCGTCTGGCCTGGTGAGTAGGTAGTAGCACCCTTGTTAACCCCCTGCATCAGGGCCATGGGCAGCTGTGTCAGCCAGCCAGCGGCTGTTGTCTCTTTCCCAGGTGTGACTGCAGCCAGTTTGGCAGGTGATCCCCAGATACCACCACACCCCAGGACTGCAGGGCAGCTTGGCGCCTCCTGAATCAGACTTTCCAGTCACAGAGGGGGCAGGGACTGCACCCTCCTTTCTCCTGTGCCAAGGCCCTCCCCCAAACCATCTCCTCTGGGCTGCTGTGAGACCTGCAGGGAGGGAGACTGGCCGGTGGTCAGCCGGCAGGCTTGTGAAACTCACATCCAGAGCAGCCGCTGGCTGCAACTGGGGAGCTCAGCTTAAGGCAGAGGACTTACCCAAGGTCACAGAGCCAATGAGTAGCCAAGCCTAGTTAGAACCAAGCTTCCCAGAGCTGTAGGCAGGGGGCCTCCAGGGTGGGTCCCTTAGCCCAGTGTCAGCAAGAACAGCATCTCCAGCCGCTGTAATTGTTGCCATAGGCAAAGCCTCGTGGGGTTGAGAAGAAAACTTCCAGTGCTGAGAAGCCCCAAGGCAACAATCAGTACTGCTGCCACCCCCCAGCCCGCGTGATGCCCCCATGTGCACTCCTCCCTCCCCACCCCCATCCCGACAGCCTCGGGTTCCTGCCGGGAGACAGGCTTTCTGCCCAGTGGAGGGAGCTGTTTCCTTGGCTTCTGGAAGCAGACAGGGTGCTGGAGCTGTCCCCACTGCGCAGATGACGACAGTGAAGGACGCTGACACTGGCCCAAGCCCTGAACGCAGGTGCCTGACCGCCTAGTCCAGCTCTGAAATCTCTGCAGAGTGACAGCTCGCCATTCTGCGGTCCCCCTGAGCCTTGTCCAGGAGGAGGTGGGGCCACCACCGCGATCACACGGAGCCGGCGCCTATGGACCTGGCTATGAGGGCCTAATCACATCTGTGCCCTTGGTGTCCCCAACAGGGCCTGGCGCCTAGCAAGCACTGATAAAAGCAGTTTGGATCATTGTGAAAGGCACAAGGACCTCTCCTCTGAGGGCACCCGTGTCCCTGCAGAAGGGGCTCCCACGCTGGGCTCCACCTTCCTGGTCCCCCGTGCCACAGTCTGTCCCGGGGAGAAAAAGCCTTGGCCGGTTTGCTCATCAGCCAGATGACAGCGGGCAGCCGAGGAATGCCTCTGCAAGCAGCACTGGGCCGCGGTGAGTCAGGCCCGGGGAATCTGCCCCTGCCTCCACCCCCTCCGGTTGGGTTCCTTGTTCCTGGGGAGGGGCGGATGAGGAAACCCCCCTCTACACAGCCCTCCCCCCTACTGGAGGCTAAGGTAGCGGAGGCAGGGGCACGGTCTGCTTCACCTGGCTTGCTTGGCTGCCTCCCCAGAAGGTAGATGCCCTGGCTGGCAGCACACCCAGGGGTTGTCGAGGGATTTCCTGGCTCCTTCCATCAAGGACTCCCCTAACACCTAGAAGGTGAGCTTGAAAGCTGGGGAGGGGGAGGAGGGCTTGGGCAAACGCTGAATCTGCAGCAGCCTAGTCCCAGGAAGACCCGAGTCGCAGGGTTTGATTTTCACCTTATTAGGCCATTGTAGGTAGCTCACTACCGCCCCGGAGGCCTCGGCTGTAAAATGGGTTCAATAATGATCTAACTCTGGCACGGCAGAGCGTTACCGTGCCTGGGCTGCGCAGAGGAGAGATTTGGGGTCATGGAGAGTCAGGTAGGGGAAGAGCTGGCAGAATTCCCTTCTCTGGTTCCCCAGGAGAAAAGCGGGGCTGCTGCTCTGAGACCTGGGTTTTGCCGTGCTTCCATTGGGGAGAGAGACAAATACGGACGTCGCCCTCAGGGCTGGGCTGCCCTGGTCTCACAACCCCAGCCAGGAGACAGGGAGCCCCGGTGGGGATTTCTGGACTTTCCCACCTAGGCAGGGGTTCTATGGGAACACACCGAGATTCTGATCCTGGAATCTTGAGCCCGTGAAGGGGGTGGGAGGTGAGGCTGGGGACTGAAAGCTGTTTCGCCCACGCGTGCACACCTACCCACCCAGGGCTGCCTGGCATCTTCTGTCCTCGCAGGCAGGGCTCTTCTTCCCGCCAAGTCCCTCCCCGTTCTCGTCCTCTCCCCCAGCCAGGGCCCGCGGGGTTCCATTGGAGGGGAGGGGGGACAGGGAAAGCCAAATGAGGAGGAGGAGGTGCAGGAGGAAGAGGTCTGGTCTACCATCAACACGTTCTGTGCAAGGTTTACAGCCCCAGCCCCGTTCCTCAGTTTCCCGAGCTGCCCAGAGAACTGACCAGACTCCGGGTGCCTCCCAGCCCAAGAGCCCCCAGACCCCCCTACCCGCGCCCGCCAGGCGCCCTCTCACCTGCACGATCTGCCGGGGCTGCACGCTCAGCGTGGGGAAGTTACCGCGCCCGTGAATGGGAATCGGCTCGCTCAGGAGTGCGTCCAGCCGCTTCACCTGTGGCCAACTCAGCCTGCTCAGGTGCCGGCCGGGGGAGGCCGAGGCCGAAGAGGTCTCTGGGTCGGGGCCGCCGCCAGCCGGGGCGGCCGTAGCCACCGCTGAGGCCGTAGCCGTCCCCACCTGCGCAGCCGCCCCGTCTCGGCTCTCAGCTCCGCTCTCTGACAGCATCGTTCGCCCAGCCCCGGAGCCCCGACGGCAGAAACCGGGGGGTGATTAAGGGGAGGCGGGCGGGGGGAGCGGCTGTGCTGGGACCAAGGCGGGGGGCGGAGATGCAGGGACGGGGCGGCAGCGACGGCGAGGCAGACCCGGGGCACACCTCCGACAGCGACGACCCACCGACCCTAAAGCCCGCGGTCCCCTGCCCAGCTGACTCTTATAGGCCGCGGGCCACATGCCTATTGGTCCGCGCTGCTGTCACGTAGAGGGAGCTGCCCCGCCTCTTGATGCCCTTGCCATTGGCCAGCAGAACTTTGCACGTGAGTCAGTGTTTCCCAAGGCGATTCCGATTGGCTGGAAGGCACGCCCATGCCCCGCCCCCTTCACACGCTGAATTCCCTCCTTTGGTCTTTAAAGAATTTTTGTGCTTTGTCGTTGGCCTGGGTGGGCCTGAACTTAAAGGGAAAGCGCCCTCCAGAGGCAGGCGGGAGGAAAGGGAGTTGTGGAGTTTGTGGAAGGGTCGGATCGCTGAGAAATTCCAGAAGGAACTGAGAAAATCACTCGGGCCGGTCCTGGTCGTCCGCTCTTTTCCAGAAGCCCGGAGAGATGGCGCCGCTTGCTGAATTCTGCGAGGCGCTTTCTAACGCCCTCTCTTGCGTGGCCCGTTCACACAGCAGCCTGGCTGGTGTCGCTGTGCAGGTGCAGGCAGGGTAGATGCGCTCCGGGAGCCGGTACAGCTTCCCTAGCGTCCCCTCAAGTTCTGGACCAAGGCTGTAGCACCGGCAGACCCTTTCAGCTGCACCTAAGCCGACGCGGGGCTTTTTCGGGGCTGGAGGATGGGCACTCCGTGAGCCTGGCTTCCTCTCCCACCTTACAGAGGCGGGAGAGTGCAGCCTCATTATGGCTTTAAATTCATCTCTTTCCCTCCTGATTTTAAATAAACGTGTGTGGCAAACATTCAGAAACTAAAGCTATCCGATTCATCACTGTAATAATTTTTTCTTAAATATATTCTCAATAACGTATCAAATTGAATCTGATCCTCCCAACGTTCTCCTGTGAGGCAGCCTGGGCAGCAGTCATAGGGCCACTTTACAAACGGGGAAACCAAGATCTGGAAGTGGTAAACCTGAGGTCACCAGCCTGACCCTGACAGACATGGGAGTGGACCTGGGGAGGCCGACTCTTGGGCTAAGCAGCCCCTGGCTCTGGCTTTCCGGGAGGGGACCTACTGCTTGCTCCCCTGCTTGGCTCAGTGGTCTTGGACCAGTCCCTTCCAGGCCTCAGTGCAGTCGGCTGCTAAGAAGTTTATAGAGGGGCACTGTGGCCTAGTGGGTTAAGACTCCATCTGTGGCACCGGCACCCCATATGGACACCAGTTCAAGTCCTGGCTGCTCCTCTTCCGATCCAGCTCTCTGCTATGGCCTGGGAAAGCAGTAGAAGATGGCCCAAGTGCTTGGGCCCCTGCACCTGCATGGGGGACCTGGAAGAAGCTCTGGCCCCTGGCTTCACATCAGCTCAGCTCCAGCTGGGGAGTGACCCAGCGGATGGAAGACCTTTCTCTCTGTCTCTCCCTCTCTCTATCTGAAACTCTACCTCTTAAATAAATAAGTAAACAAACAAACAAATAAATAAAACAGACATAGAAATCTTCGTTGGACCCAGCACATCTCCCTGAGGTTAACGAGGAGAAAGGTCCAGGTGGTCTGCTACCCCCACTTCCGTGCCTCAGCAGAAGAGGGAAAACAGACGGGAACACTTGCTGAATTCCTGCTACGCACAAGCTCGTTTACATACGTGACCTCCAGTTCCTAGTGTACACCTCAGTGTGTGGGGTCATTGTGCCCAGCTTACAACTAAAGAAACACAGGCTTAGGCAGGTCAAGTGATGTCCCCAAGGTCACACAAACCACTACTTGGCAGTCTGGGGCTCGAGTCCAGGTCTCCTGACTCCAGAGCCCAATTTTGCAACCACTCCTCTTGGAAGACTTGGCACAGATCACAAAGTTGTGCTTGGCACAGCTCCGGCCCCACCCACAAGATCCATCCATTCATTCATTAGCCAACAGACTGTGGACCAGGTGCTGGGCTGAGCCCAGAACTTTCTAATGAGAAAGACAATAGTCAAGTAAACAAATCAAACATTTCGTAGAGCTAAGAAAAAAAATAAAACAAGGTCCCAGAAGAGAGAACCCTGAGAGAGAGAGAGAGAGAGAAGAGAGAGAGAGAGAGAGAGAGAGAGAGAGAGAGAGAGAAAGAGAGAGAGAACTAGAGGTGTGGGTAGACAGCACAGTGCGATCATGGAATATCTCCCTAACCAGGCGGCAGTTCATCCTACACACTAGATGGCATTTTCTTGGAAAGGAAGCTCATCTCTTTTTCTCTCGTCCTTCTGTCTGGGCTAGGAAAAGCAATTAGCAAATTCACGTGTCGTGAATCACCCTGCTTCCATTCCCAAAGCTGGTCATCTCCATGTTTGCTGAATTACAGGGCGTGAACGTCATGATGGTGGGGATGGAGGTGACGGGTGGAGGGGGCGGGGTGTAGGGAGCTGAGAGAGAGCAGGGACAGCAAATAGGGACAGCTTCACGGAGAGCAGCAGTCCGTTGTCCCGGGGGTGGAGGTGTGCCCTGCAGAGCCACTGGCTGCTCTCAGATGTCCTGTGTTCATTGCGATCTTAAAGGGGACTTTCCATGGTGAAGGAAATGCCCGGCACTTGGCGCAGACTCTCCCGCTCAGCTTTCAGAGCAGTCTTAGCATGCAGCGGTCACCTCTCCTTTGCAGGTAGAGAAGCTGAGCTCAGAGCAAATGCCACCGTTTGCTTTCCCAGGTCTGGCTGAATCCCAGGGCCAGGCCCCGCCCCTGAGGATGACATCACGAGGTGGATTACGCACAAATGAGGCCCCCACCCTCCCTGTGAGCCTCCTGCTCGCCTCAGGTTCTCACAGCCCAGGTAATGGCCATCATCATGGCCAGTAATTGTGCTTGCACCCTGTGTAATGCTGATACCAAGTAGCCCATCCCCCCCGACAGCAGCTCCGGTCTTTCCCGCTTGCGACTTGAGACCAACTCCAACTGTGCCTTGACCCTTCATGGCCTTGAATCCAATAGGCCCCTACTTTCTGTCATGGCTTCCACCTCCCCAGACAGCCTGGATTCCATGGACCACAGCTCTAATTCCCTCCTGGCACGCACCCTCTCCCCCTGCGCCTCATCAAATTGCATCTGCCTAGAGAAACCACACCCCGGCAAATCCCAGGCCGGAGGAAGACCTGCCCTGCTCACCGACCTCCCTTGAATGTCACACCCACCAGCCTCTGGGGCCCCCGGTGCAGTCTGACAATCCTGCCCTCCAACCTGGGCTGCTCAGGGCCCCTGTCCCACAGCGCAATGTCAAACGTCTCCAAGGAAACAGAAGCCACCAGAACAGAGTTGTCTTGGACTCAGCTGCTCCCCCACGCCTTCCTGCCTGGCCTCCCTCCCTGCTTGCTCCAGCCAAGGCTGCTGTCCCATCCTCTCAGGACTCACTCTGCACAGTCTCCCTCTCTTGCTGACTGGGTCACCGCAAGCAGCGCTAAAATATGATTTTGTGCATTGCAAGAACGCGACAAAACCTCTCTTGGCCCCACGCATCTCTCCCCTTCCACCAATTTCTCGGCATAGCAGAGCTCTTTAAAAAATGTATATGCCTATGGCCTTCAAATGTCCTGCTCTTTTTTTATTTTTATTTTATTTTATTTTATTTTTTTAATTTTTGACAGGCAGAGTGGACAGTGAGAGAGAGAGAGACAGAGAGAAAGGTCTTCCTTTTTTGCCGTTGGTTCACCCTCCAATGGCTGCCACAGCTGGCGCACTGCGGCCGGTGCATTGCGCTGATCTGAAGCCAGGAGCCAGGTGCTTCTCCTGGTCTCCCATGGGGTGCAGGGCCCAAGCACTTGGGCCATCCTCCACTGCACTCCCTGGCCACAGCAGAGAGCTGGCCTGGAAGAGGGGCAACCAGGACAGAATCCGGCGCCCCGACCAGGACTAGAACCCAGTGTGCCAGCGCCACAGGCGGAGGATTAGCCTATTGAGCCACGGCGCCGACTAATGTCCTGCTCTTTTGCAAATTTATTTGGTTAATGTATTTGAAAGGCAGGGAGACATAGCAACAGAGAGAAATCACTGATTCACTCCGCAAATGCCTGCAACAACCAGAGCTGGGCAAGGCCAAAGCCAGGAGCCAGGAACTCAATCCAGGTCTCCAACATGGGTTGTAGGGAACCACTTCTTGAGCCCTCGCCACTGCCTCCTGGGGTCTGCAGTGGCAGGAAGCTGGAGCCAGGAATTGAACCCAGATACTCTGGTGTGAGATGCAGGTACCCGAACCGGCATCTTTGTACTTGTTTTTAAAGATGTATTTATTTATTTATTTGAAAGAGTTAGAGAGAGAGAAAGAGAGAGAGAGAAACAGATAGAGATCTTCCATCCTCTGGTTCACTCGTCAGTGCTGGGCCAGGCCAAAGCCAGGAGCCAGGAGCATCATCAGGGTCTCCACTTGGGTGGTTCTTGGGCCATCTCCTGCAACTTTTTCCAGGCGATTAGCAGGGAGCTGAACTAGGAGTGGGACAGCTGGGACTTGAACTGGCACTCATGGGATGCTAGCGTCACAGGTGGTGGCTTTACCAGCTGTACCACACAACACAGCCCCCCTAACTGGCATCTAATCATTAAGCAAAATGGCCACCCTTGTCCATTTATAAAAGTGTGCTAGTTATTTATCTTAAAAATGTATTTTATTGGCCGGCGCCGCGGCTCACTAGGCTAATCCTCCACCTTGTGGTGCCGGCACACCGGGTTCTAGTCCCGGTCGGGGTGCTGGATTCTGTCCCGATTGCCCCTCTTCCAGGCCAGCTCTCTGCTGTGGCCAGGGAGTGCAGTGGAGGATGGCCCAAGTGCTTGGGCCCTGCACCCCATGGGAGACCAGGATAAGTACCTGGCTCCTGCCATCGGATCAGCGTGGTGCGCTGGCCGCAGCGCACCGGCCGTGGCAGCCATTGGAGGGTGAACCAACGGCAAAGGAAGACCTTTCTCTCTGTCTCTCTCTCTCTCTCACTGTCCACTCTGCCTGTAAAAAAAAAATGTATTTTATTTTATTTATTTGAAAAGAAGAGATAGGGAGACAGACAAAGAGAGATCTTCCATCTGTTGGTTTGTTCCCCAAATGCCTGCAGCAGC